TGTCGGTACTTATGTGTCAGTACATATATCTGGACAAGGCGACGAGCTAAGCGGGTTATAGCGCTTACGTTACATTATGTTGCACTTGTCGGTCGTCAAGCGTTTAAAATGGAAAATAATTGCAATGATTCACAAAGTACTCAAGGCGATTCTCCGTCTCTTTAAAGAGGCCTTTAAGGGAATGAGCATTGATGTTGTCTGAATATTTTCCCCGATCCACACTTTTAAAGATGAAGCTGCTTACCCAAAATGAGATTAAGCTTGCCAGGAAGTGTTTACTTAATGCTGCGGCACTAGAATCTCGCAACTATGGAGCCATTGCATCAACACCTCAGCACTATTCCCTAGAAGATGTTGCACCAGTCGGGGATACCAATTGTGTTTAGAAAGGCGTTATTGGCTCGGACGATAAAGAAACCACACCACCAATGAGCAGTGATCCAACCCTTGAATTACTATGTTCAACATGTAGCATTGCGTTTGCTGCGTATCGCGAATAAGGAAAGACGATTCCACGTCAACAAGACCGCTAGTGTGGTGATCAAACAACGGGCACAATCGCCCATCGCTGAAGTTGCTGGCAAGGAAGTGGCTCGGCTGCGTGGCTACATTGTTACCGTCCGAGCGGGCATTCTCAGCAGCAGGTAACACAGTCCCAGCCAAACGCGGTCAAATGGATAGCAGGCTTGTACGCGACTTAATTTTCATCTACGAGTACCATGTCGGGCCAAAAAAGCTAAATATAAAACGAGAAAGCATTCACGTCTAATATGACCAAGGTTGAGGCCGCTCGCAGCATAGAGATCATATGTTCTCCAGCTTGATGTACACTACCTCTCCACCCACTCACATACATCTCATTGTGCCTTATCGCTCGCAGTTCTATTAGGCTTAACGTTGCAATTGTCTCGCTATTGTTGTTAAGAACAACCTTGGTCGGCTACACTTTGATTTACACTAGCATTATTTTTTTCGTGTAGCTCCGCATTCGAGTATATCATTTTCTAGCCCTAGCACCATTTAGTTACCGTCGTTGTTGCTCCTTGGCTTCTCCTTTGTGACAACCTTGTGATTTTGCGTAGCTGTTTCATTCGCTTTAAAATCTCACGCTCTACAGAAGCTGCCTGCGTTGGGCCTCATAAAGCACCATTTCGCTGTGGCGATTCCACGTCTTTCAGCTCAGGGTCGAAGCATTCTTCAGCTTTCACCGGTAGATCCTTGGGGAATTTCCATGTCTTGGAGCAGCACCATGCGATAGTTCTCAATCAAGGAGATCTGCGACTAAGTGAATTAATAGATGGTATTTTTTTGCTCAATTTACTATGTAATACGCTCCAAATCCAGGCAAGGGCTCGCGTAATTCGCGCGGGCGTAATTCGCCATACCACGACGTAACGTTTTGTTGTAGCTTCTGCTCTACCTACGTTGGGCACGTTTATCCCAGCGATACGTCAGATATGCCCTGACCGAGCTGTACTAGTCGGCAACCTGATGCAGCTCCTACGAGATCCTTCCATCTGCCTCTTGATCTCGTTCATCTCCTTTTCAATCGCACTCAGTGGCTTTATGCGGGTCGACCGGGTGCACCTAAGAGAGATTTGCCTATAAGCACTCGCATCCTCGTCAGCAGCTCCACGGGTACACCCATCAAGAAGGGAGTAAAAGTAGAAGGTGTCAATATTAACTTTTAGCACGGTAAGAATGGCAACATGACGGTGTACTTGTACGTCGCCTTTAAGCAGACAAACAGTTTAAGTAGCGCCTTTAAGTAGCTCTCCCACAAATTTCCGACGAAGCACACTGACCTCCAGCCCCGAAGCAGTACCTTACGTCCAGGCTGACACGGAGCGCTTCGTTGATGAGGATATGATGCCTGTGACTGACTACACGACCATAATACACGCCATATAAACGCACAGCAGAAGTGGAGCTAGATGTCGCGCGTAAACGCCTACGCCGCTGTTTAATAACCTTTCGAACAACGAATTCCATCCTTGACGGAAACGCTGAATGGGAGATCATGGTGTGGCCGGTTGCTTTCCGGGAAGCGGGCGTGTCTCGCTGGCGTTGCTGGCTACAAGTCGATGCGTTCTCGAGTCGGATAAACCGGTCACTCCGCCACCTGAAACAAACGGTGCCGTCGTCTCCCGCAGCTTCGTCTTGACCTCTGCGTTAGCAGCCTACACTGTCAACTTAAACAGCAAACAATCTCTCTTGCCTACCCACATACTCGGGTAGGAAGCTTCCTGAAAGGGAAGCCTTATGTGCGCTGTAAAGCTTCTTCCGCGGTCTTCCCGCCTCCGTGTTACCACCATTCTCGCTAGAGTATCGCATTGTACCTAGATGCCTTCCAAAACTCACTGTATTAGTGACAAGGCTTCTCGTATCCTATAAAAATTTGTATGATAATAAATATAACTGCTTTTTTTAACGCTCCGTAAAATCTCAAGTTCGATATTTAAGGTTGGGCAAATCATATAGGTTGGGGTAAAGGCTGGGGAGCCTCGCAACAGGTGTTCTAGACACGAGCTCCGATATTGCGACCAATCAAGAGCAAGCTTTGTACTCAATTGGCAGGCAATCCGAGCTCAAATAGTGACGCAATGCTGTCGCACAGTGATGCCGAACGACTGATCCGCTCATTGGCTGGATTTCCGGGTGACCGCTAGTTTTAATAAATAGTGCATGAGAATATGCAAATATTTTCATCAACGAACGCCGAAGAATAAGTGCCTGTCTGCCAAATCAACAAAACGGCGACCGAGATCCCAGTAACCCGTGGCACCCCCTGGACTACATGCATCCTACTGGTCGCTACCGTTACGGCAAGCTGGCTGCATACATCAAGGTCTTCGTCAAATCGTCTCCCATTAAGCTGCCTAAGCTTCATGTGAAGCGACTACAAGGCTTGGTAGGGCGAGGTGCCGCTGCACTTCGAGCCAAAGACGTTGGGTGACATCACCTTCGGCCTGGAGCGCTACGACGCAGTGGAAGGTATGCGGCGTGACAAGACATGCAAGAACAAGGTGTTTTCAGCACTTGCGCTGTCACTGTCCGTGGACTTGCGCTCTACGTGTAAGATCGACGGCACCCACGACAACATGGACGCCACCGCTTGGCTGTACGATGCGATTACGCAGCACTTCGAGGCTGGTGATGCTATTATTCCTAATTGCCTACTGCAAGAATTGGCGACGCGGAGGCTCAAGACGAATGGTTCTGTCGTCGTACGCTGATGACATTGCGAATATAGTGACACTTCTACATCAAGCTAATGGTGAGTTCGCTGAGTGGCAACATACAGGCCTACTTCTATCGAACAGCGTGAAAGCTTTCAACGACCTCGCGCACGAAGATTTAGATTGAATCAACAGCCGTGATCGCAAGACCTTGACAATGGTCGAAGCTCTACAACGACTACGTGCTATCGAGCATCAGCGCTATCAGCTGCGGGTTGAGACCAGACAACTGGTCTCGTAGCCCATGCAAGAAGCTCACGTCGGAACATAACATGTTCAGCGACAGAATTAAGAAAACAGACAAGGTCAAGCCTGCGGATGCAAGCGCAATCAGCAGCAGCGCAAATCGGTCCAAGTGCGTTGCAGACGAGAAGCAGCGTACGAAGTGTTCGAATTGCCAAGGTGAAGGGCACTGATATACTAATACACTTCGCACACAGGCCAGCCGCTGAAGCCTGAGTTTGTGAGGAATCTGCGAGACAAGCCATCCGGGGCTCATGTGTCATTGGTGAGCTCCATACGTCGTGTGGACGCGATGACTATCGATGCCATACTGTAGCCCCAATTAGGTTTAGTCACATTTTCTCTCAAGCTCACTAGGTAGCTTAAATATCCATCTGTAGCTATGAATCCGTCCTCCTCGTCGGATACGTACACATTCTTCGAGCGACAGTCTAATTTATCAGAAGCTAATCCACGATATTTAGGCTCGCTGAAACTATCGTTGAAAGGCCTTAATACTTGAGGTGGACGGACGTCTTTGTATGAGGCTAAAAATTCGTCTCGCTTGGCTTTGATTCGTTTGAAAATGTCGTCGTAGCGCTCGATTCAATCCGGATCCGTTGCATCGTCTGCATCCAAGTCCGTGTCCGGCTCGAACTCCGATTCGGAGGTCGGAAACAGTCGACCATTGTCCATCCGTACGTCACGACACTTCACCGTCGAACCTGGCATGTAAAGCACTAGTTGAACCCTCAGTTGAACGACGACGTGTGCCGCTCTATCGATTGAGACTTGAGATAAATCAAAGTCAAAATAAAAACCTGGGTTCTGGGAGGGGGGGGTATCGACCTGTACACGATGAAGCAGAGTCGCATGTTAAACGTTAGAAAACCAATTAAGTTATACATGCACTGAAAAGCGCGCTAGAGCCTCTACTGCTGAGCCAATAGCTTCAGCTTACAGTCAGCTATATAAGGGACAGTGCTACCACCTCTGTTACTGCAAATAATTTCCGCAAAAAAACTAACGTGATGTAGCATCTTGGCCATAGTCCCCCTATTAAATGTAAAGAAGCCATTTTTGGTTATAGAAAACAGTGTTTCCCGCTTTCGGCTCAGTAGGTATTAGCTCCTTTTATATAGCTTCATTTTGATAGCGCTACATGAAGTCGGCAAGGCTATTAGCTGTATACCCGTTGTTTTGGTAGAATACGAAGTTTTATTAGACCTCACTTCAATTTTGCATTAGTATCTTACCGCCCATGAGATAATTTTGCCGTAGCACTAACCAATAACTTTCAAGATGACAATGCTATTCAACCAATCAAATTGAATAGGGGTAGCGAGTCCGCTACGCCAGCCGATCGGACGTATCCCATCCGATTGATACGCAAAATTTGTGTATGCCTCTCCAAACGCTAAGTCATTGACACATCACTTGCATATTTTGCTTTTATCGGACCATTGCACCCGGGACATGAACTTAAACGAGCTACAGCCTGGTAATACCTTGCGGGCTAAGGCAACAGCCATCGGTGCGCTCGTCAAATTGTTTAAAGAATGAACAGAAATACATAAGGAAGTGCATTGATAGCGATAAGAGCGAGAAAATGTTTGTGTGTGTGATTGATAAATTTGGTATGTATCTTGCATTTAAGGAGGAAAAGAAAGGTAGGCCAATAACTCGCAAAACAGCAATGAGGTACGATCGGCGAGCCAAGCGCTGGCTGCTCGATCAGCTCCCTAGCACCGAGCTTCATTGGAAGCCCGGTTGCTGAAAATGGATAGGACACTAGACAGCTTCTGTCTGAAGGGAGATGGTGGTGGGATCGTAGCGAAGGCACCACCTTGTATGAAAGATAATTTGAAAATAATGATGTCGTATTTTCACACTTATGCTAGCCCAGAAAGTGACTATCAAGATGCAACTTTTCTATGTCTTCTCTGGTACTTGTTCGGCCGCGCGTCTGACCTAGCCATGGTCCGCAAACAAAACATGTCCGTGGACGCAGGCGACGTCTTCTTCCTTCGCTTGCTTTGCGTGAAGACGTCTGAGGAACAGGGGATGTTGCGCTTTCCTGACACGAAATTGGCTCCGAGCCCCTTGCTCTCCATTGCGCTCACCTTGATTCTCCAAGCCGCCCCAAGCACCGCCCTCGTCGGCAACCTCCCAGAACAAGCAGGCTTTGCAAGCTCCATGCTTTCTCCCGACGTCCCGCTGATCGAGCTGCTTAACGCCCCGCACGTCACCACTGGTCTTGCCGCTCCAGCAGCCCCGCCGCGCGTTGCCACAGCCCCTATATTATACGCGCACGCTAGCCGGGTGCTAGACGGTGTGGCGCCTACTGCTGGTGTGGATGTCGCTTTGACGTCGCACCCATTTCGAAGAGGAGGTGCTCAGCACGCAAACGGCTGCGACTAGATGACTGCACACTGGAGCTTTGACAGAGGCTCCTAGAATCTAAACACGACGAGCAAAGGGCTCAATTATAACTTCAATACAAGCAAAGAACATCACAAGATAGCGAAAGTACTCAGCGGATACAAACCCAGAACCGCGGTGTCACTGCAAAACTTGACTGATTTTGACACGCAGACGCGTAAAGCGATGAATTGGGTGCAGCGTGTCCTGTTTGCTACCTGCTTTCAGCTCAGGGCCGACAGCCTCAACATCAAAAAAAAAAGTAAGGATGTCGTTACCGCACGCGTCTTCCGTCACTTTTCGCTACGCAAAGACCTGAACCCCACACGTCCAGATGTGAAGCGCATCGAAGCGGCTGATCCACACGCTGGATGCTCACCAGCCGAGCTGCTTGTATGGTCCTCGCACCTAGTAACTCCATCCACTACCTGTGAAGACACCGAGACAAGTAATTCATCCACCCACAACGACGATGAACAGCCAAGAGAACCAAGCGAGAACCAGAAGACCATCGATCACCAAGCGCCTTTGATTAAGCACTATATGGAGCACATCAAGCGACAGGACGCTTGCATAGATGCACTCTAAGCTAAGCCAAACAGCGAACCTACACCAAGAAAACGAAACTTTCCAGATGAAGGCACAGATGAAGTTAGCAAGCTAAGCTACCTGGTTTGCGTGGTACGCTTAAGAACCTCGCTAATACGCACTGGCGTCAAAACAAAAGCGGCCGAGAGCGAATTTGCTGGTGGACTTCAGGAAGCTTTTTCTTAAAGACGGATTCGTTCTTGACCACAAGGCTGACGACTATCGTGACTGTGTTCTTGAGAGGGGGGGGAGCAATAAAGCAAAGAAAGCCGTACTTGCCTTCCTCGCCAGCATAAAAAAGATCAGCTAGCGTGGGTCGAGGGCCGTCCTTAAACACCTGCAGGCTCTTCACAGCAAAGGAATCATAAACGACAGAATTAAGCAGCACCAAAAACACCTCCAGTGTGCAGCCATTCGCGACTTCGCTCCTGGCGACACCCAAGACGTTTTAGAAGTTAAGGATTAGCAACGGGAGCGCATAGCTAGCCAATTCATCATACACGTTTGCCATAGCGCACACAGCGTAAACCACATCTCACTTGACCCAAATTCCGAAGCCGGTAGAGCACCACGCCTTCTGCCACTAGTTCGTGGCGAGCCCCCACCCCACAATCAGAAAGATGGCGACGGTTGGGTTTAAACCAGCATCCTCACGGCATAGCCCTGTGCTCTTCCACTGAGTTAGGTCGTCGTTGGGTAAGGGGGTGAGGTGGGGTGAGGAGGGGAGGGGGGGGCGTGGGGCGATTCTTGATTGGCCGACAGCATGAGCTGTGGAGCTTGAGCGGTCGAGTTGGAGGTCTGCGTAGTCGTGCGAAAAAAAAATAAGAGCGCAGAGGCCTCGTTGTCGGGACCGGTTTTTGTGTGTGTTTGAGCTTTGCTAGGCTGTGGCCACAGGCTGGGTGCGAGTCTACAACATATTTAGGTGGCAGGATAGGATTAGAAAAAAGTCGACCAATAAGTGCGGACATCGGTTACTGGCTGTCGTTGGTGGTCTTAATAGTGAGCCCCACCACGAAAATTGGGGGCTCATTGTTAAATTTATCAGACCAAGAGCACATGGCTCCTGGTCGCAAAATGCATTCGTTTTTCGCATTTCATAGCCCATAGACGGTTTCCAGTCATATCCTTGCGCATATAAACATGGTTGAAAGTCTCGCTGCGACCACTCCCCATATCGTGGTGTCTCCCTTAATTCCACGCAGTACCGCAGTTTTCAGTAAAATATACACTCAGAAGTGCTCGAACGGTGGTCAAGTTTTGCACTTTGTACCAGCTTTGAGGTACAGGTCTGAGGGTCCGATATATTTTGGTATGGGAGGAATATTACAATGGTAATAAAGCTCTAGGCACCCCATTAGGGCTTAAGACACTTAGCTTAATTGATCGCTTACGTTTGTTGCGTGAAACGGTCCCGCTATCGTACGAAAAAGACTTGGCTTTGTCTAATCTGTAATTGTTTTTTTAATCCAGCCTCGGTCCCGTGTAATTGTTCGGCCTGCATCCAACTCGATCCTTCTAAACTCGTTCGCTAAAAAAACTATTTTTTAAGAGCAGTTAATACGAGTAGCGGTGCTTTCGAACCTCTTCGTAAACCCCTCCCGCCTGCTTAGGGAAGACACTTCGAGTCTGCTTCAATCTGGCATTGGCTTTAAAATTCTTACGGTGCGTTGCGTGGCTCTCCTCCTATATAGTCACACTTTGAGAATTTTAGAATAATAATTTAGGTTGATTTAAAAAAACCAGATTAAGCTTTGTATTGGCTGCTAGGATTCTACTTCGAAGATCTTAGTAGTAGTATTTGACAATGCCCTTGACGATTGTGTGCAGGGTGTCATTTGCTGTAGCCTGGGATGTATGAGCCAGCTGCGCCATAAGTACTCGTCCAAGTGCATGGACAGCAATCCGTCTTCATTCCGCGCATGGCCTGTCGCATACAAACGATTAGGTTAGTAATTCCAGTAGTAGTTGGCTATGTACAGGTGACTCACCTTGATGTACTGCTTAATACGAAATTTCTATGCACCTTCCACATCGTTTGTGTTGGCACCAGCCACGAGGCCGACGTACGTCTCGCTGTGATTTACCCACAGGTGTTGGTAGTTCATGCCTCAAAAGTGCCGGTTGTTCTCGAGCGTGTGCTTGCCGTTCACCGACACGTACGAGGCGAACTGGTTACTCATAATCGTCGTGCTACAAACATTAAGGTACACTAGTTAAGTGAAACCAAAACAAAACTATTACTTACCTTGGACGTGTATGCTTCCAGATAATCACTGACAGCGTCGGCTTCGTGCGATCTTTGTATTTTATAATACCGAACCACTGGTTTGTCGTGCGCTTTACTCCGCCAAACAGTCAGTAGTCAGAAAAAATTCGGCCTCTATTGTTCTTAAATTTATTTTAAAGATGTCTCATCAATTTCGACAAAATAGTACCAACACACACTGGTGTGCAGCAAGCACACACATCATCTGCGTACCCCACAGATTCGGGTAAGAGCTGTCACAGCTGCTGCTGACAGACCGTGGGACGCATCCACTGGCCATCCATTCCGTGGTCGCGTTTCAATAGTTTAACGAATCATAAGCTGACTACCTCTCCGAGAGAGAGCAGTCAGCTCATTCTGCAATTTCCAGTGAAGAACTACCTCGCAACAAGGCGTGTCTCGGACTCTCTGACTGCATTACGACTACAACGCGGGCGGGGCGTGCCTAGGTCCTGACCACCATGGCGGCGCCCGCGTCTGGCCTCACGGCTATTGCACGGCTACGAATGGACACTTTGACTACGCTTCGACCGCATTACGTCTATAACGCGGCGCGGCGCGCCTCGGACCTGACCACCGGCATGGCGGCGCTTGATTGCAGGCGATAATCGTTGGAGCCTCATTTGTGCGGCTTGTGCGGAGCGAGTTTATTCGTATAGCGTCTGTACCGCTTCAGCAGATGGCTGTATGGAGTTAGTCATGTTTCAATGGTTTGATCATGTGGACTTCAGTGACGACTTTTTTCTGTAAAAATGCAAAGAAGAGACTAATGTATTAATTGCTGTAATAAAATGTGATCTGTTTGTTTATTCTTCTTCCGCTTCGATGTAAGCACGCTCCACTTTGCGCCGTTTACGCTGTCGATACTTCCCCAGCTCGCATGATGGGAGATTCGTTGCTGGGTTCCCAAGCAGTCAGAAAGAGAACCTTCCCGTCGACACGCCGGCCGTCAAGGATGGATCTCATCTGGTAAACCGGCTGTGCTATCAAGGCGACACCAGCTGGCAACACCCATTCCATTTCGCCGCATCATTTCTTGGCTTGCCGCATCAATGAGACGGGCCTTAGTGATTCGGGCTTGCGGTACAGCGTCAATAAGGCGCTGGCAACGTCGTTAGCCGAGCCTCATTAAATAAGGCCCCAAGCCGTAAAAAAACGGGCGGCCGCTTGGTCGAGGCGGCACCACTCACGTTCCTTAAGGTGCTGCCGGCACCATTCGAAGAGTGCTGTCGCGGTGGTAGGTGGGGTGGTGCTGTCAGTGGGTCGTGTCCGGTGGAGTCCATCTTGAGGGCGAATTCAGAAGTGAACATGAAATGAGTAGACTGCATATAGTACAAATTTATAGTTGTATTTCGTGTATCTATTTATAATTATCAAAAAGGTGTTCTATTCACGTTTTCCATTAATTAAAAACTATCAAGAACACTGTTCTATTTAGATTTTCCACGAAGGTTGATCAATAGCAGTTAAATCACTGACAAGGCTTATTCTTTAGCTCTAACTTAGTGCCACAATGTCTTAAACTTACACCAAGCTAAGTGAGTGGCCGTTTGTCAGTGGACAACCAGCAGGAACTCGAGCACTTGCTACGCCATTAGAACTTGTTTGTCCAGTGCGGCGACGCCTCATCACGACTGTACGATTGACGAGAGTTCTCTTTCCGTCCTATCCAGTGTAGCTCTTAACTTGAACAGCAAACAGAAGGTGAATGCAAATTGCGAACTTAAAGTAATACTTACCCTCCCACGTCATCGTAGTAACATCGACGTTCCAGCCACCATCCGGCTGACCCTCTGTCTCCATGCGAGCACAATTGACGCCCATCTGGGCTGACCCAGGAGCCGTTTCTCGGCTGCGTCCCGGTTCAGGCAGATAAACGGAAGAATAGCCGCGTGACAACACTCGAACATCATCTGGGTTTGAGGAAACCAGCAAGAACTCAGTGCTCGATCGGCCAGGGGTCATGTCAGCGAGAAGATAGCGACGCCGGAAACCTTTCACTCGTGCTTTCAGTTGCTGGGTTGGTTCTGCTAGCTCCTCGAACACCTTAGAATCGACGGACTGGTGCTCGCAGCGATCAGCGAGCGGCTGGAACAATGTTCCGATCTTGTGCTTCGTTCGGAAAGTGTAGTCGCGCTTGATCAGCCCGTTGAACTGTTTTACCGGGTTGTTCATTGTGGCGTATCCACTTGGTGTATGAAACCTTCATGGCTTCCATAAGCAGCTGGAAATCCTCGCGAGCCATGTCGCTGCAGACAGTCGTCCACTTGGTCGTCGTGGGCATCTTGCGTTAAGGAGGGGGAAGTGGTGGGATTCCGAATTCAGTGTTTTACGGTATGAAGAAGGATCCTTCCGCTTACGAAAACGGATTTTAAGGACGATGATTGGCTCAAAGACTGACAAAGCGCTGGTTGTGATTCGCTTCCATTCAGTGATGGGTAAATACATTGTTTGGTGTGTTTTGGCCAATGTAATTATGGCACACGTATAGATTGTGTGGTGTGATGTGACATTGATGTGTTCCACGCATATTGTGTGTGATATCACATTTTCTGTGTGTCATACCTTGGCTGTGTGTGACTTACCGGTTCTGTCATCAATTTCTACGACGTGCCCCTCACTTCTATTCCTCCATGAAGATAGATTGCATCTTCTACAAGCATGTTTCACTGCAGTAGGTGTACCACTGCATAGCCGCCTGAGCATGAACACCCACCATCTCAGCTGCAGCCGTAATTGACGTTGGGGCACAACAGGGACACAGAAGCCGTATCAACTAACCGGCGCGGCAATTTCTCTTCGAGAAAAAGGAGTGGGTATGGACGCTGCGCTCCGTCCGGCACGCAGCACGCAGCACGGGATCAAATACACAAGCATTGCCCACTCCACGGTTGCCGCAGCGTTGGAGGTGACGTCCATCACTGCGTCATACGTGGGGTGCTTGAGGCCTCGGGCAGCCTATGCACCTGGCTTGGAGGACGTGGCGCTGAGTTTGGAGGGCATCGTAGCTGGGAAGGGTGGAATTAAGAAGGGTGAGGGGATCTCGGGGCTTTGTCAGGAGTTTTAAAGCGGTGCGCAAGCGCGCCAAAGCACCTGACCGCTCCCGCTTTGTGGGTTTAATTTTTTTATACTGGCATCGTATGTGAGTGTAACTTAGGTTCACAAAAGGTACGTTAATTGTAGGCCAAACACGTGTGGTTTATCGGCTCGTAACCCGATGTGCAAATTGTGAATGCTGTAATCTAGAGGTTAGTTTTATTTAACCTCTATATTCGAGGAGAGCCCGTTGGGTCGTAGCTCTTAAATGCCATCCATAGCATCGTCCTCCGCGCATGCTTTCCTTAGGGTCTTCCCGCCCTCATTTAGGCACCGCTATCCATCGTTCATTAACGTGTAGACGGTGCTAACCACAGTGCTGTAAGCGT